TTTTTTTGCTGGTTTTATAAGACATTTGTACAAAAATAGGTTAATGTTTCTATACACATTTTTTCTAATTAATATAAAAATCTTTACAAAGGAAGTATCTTTGTTTTCAAGTTTAATCCCTTCCTTAAAATACTTTATTATGGAAATTTTCAAACAAATATAGAACTTACAATACAAGGGTGTTTTCAAAAAGTTCGTGTAAAAATGGAATTAAAAGATAATACAAATGTTTCCATGAACATCATACAATGAGCTCTCATACAGCCATCTCTGGGCTTCATTAATCCTCAAAAATTTGCCCAATTTTTTTCATCTATCTTTTCTCCCATTTTTTTTTTCTGAAGTATTGTAATGCAAATTCTAGATATTGTATTATTTTACCCACAGTATCTTACTGTTTATGTTTTATTATCTTAATGTATTTTCAGAGTAATATTATCAGATCAGAATTATTATTCTCTTTTTTAAATTGAGGAAGAGACTTGGAAGGTTGAGTAGTTTGCCTAGGTTTCTATAGCTCTTGAAACCCAGAAGTAAGATTGGAAGTGATGCTATCTCTTGCTTGAACCAGACCATACTGTCTCTCAGCAAGTATGGAAGTGAGAAAAACTGACTATTACTCTAGTTAACTTTTGCTGAGGACTCTATGAAAGATGCTTTCTTCATCTTTCTTTTAATTTAAGGATTTATATTGGTACTGAGTGCAATATTGAGTACACTTACATCAGGTGAGTGGGGGAGTCCTTGAAATCCCCCTGTAAATCTGCAGTATTGAACTCTCCCTCGCTCTCTCCCAGCCAAGGACTCTGCATCTCTCCTTCCTGCTTTAATTTTCTACCCAGCTTTACTCATTTTATAACATAATATATGATTTTGTAGTTGGTTTTCTTTCTCTCCCTCTCCATAATCTAAACACCTTAAGGGCAGGAATTTTTGATTTGTTCCCTGATGCATTCCCAGCCCTTAGAACAGTGCCCGGAATGTGGTAGTCACTCAGTACATATTTAGTGAATGAACGAATGATGAATGAATGAATGGAATTTGCAGTGACTACTCTGATTCGTGAAAACATATTAAAGGCTTGAAGCAAGAAGTCTTTACTAAATCAGACTTTGGGCAGAACACGGAGACTTCATTAAAAAGTGATATGAATTATCCTCGTGTTCCATGTCTATGTGTATTCTTCAAACTGAAATTCTGTTCTCCTAAGTAGAAGGTGAGTGGGAAGGTGGGCTGCTGTGGACAGAGTAGTAGATAGGACTTTGTGAGAGAGAATAATAGAAAACATAGAACAAGTGACACTAGTGCTCGAGGGAAAGTCATCTTTATTTTGACTTCAAGATGAGGAGAAAGGAGGGAACTTAAGATTAATTAACCTTTTCCATCTAGTAGGAATTATATATACACATACACACACTTATATATATATATATATATTTATATACATATAAAATTTTTAAAGAGTCAACTGGAGGAGCAAAAGAAAAACAGTGGGCACACATATAAAAATTGTAATTGCATCTTTTGAACTTTATTTTTATTTTTATTTTTTTGTCTTTTGTCTTTTTTCCGTGTCCGGCAATGGATC